TACCCAATTTACAAGGAAAAAAAAAACAACAAAACAACACTTTATAAAAAGCTTGGCACTCATTTAGCTGTAGGCAAAACAGCCCTTATTTAGAAGGTCTCTTTCTAGACTGTGTATGTCCTTTTCAGGATGGCAGATCCCTGGGGAATTCCCCCTCATACAAATTCCTTCTCAGCAGGCAGAGAGAGCAGCTAACACGCAAAAATGCCTGGAAGGAGTAGCTCATCACTGTGTTTGAGTGACAGCATGTAAACCATTCATTCTCTGCTGTCTGCTGGTATTTCAGCTCTCTGATTGGGATTCTGCTTCCCCTCCAGTCTGGCCTCTTCTTGTCTGTTTGTTTTGCTATCGTTTGTACAAAGATCATCAGATGCAAGTACATTTGACATATGGAGATAACAGTCAGGAAAGGAAACAACATATGGCAGACAATTCATATCCATCAAGATCTGCCATAAAACCATTTTTAGCAATAGAAAAAGAAGGGTGGAAAAAGATAGCAACTTTGAATTTAAAATAACCATGATACTCTAACAAAGAGGAGGGCCTAGGGCTTGCTTTGCTAGATGACACCTCTGGTTCACTGAGGCCAGCAGCAGTTGACACTCTGTGCTTCAACAGTAGGCTAAAATCTTCTGCAGTGCATTGGCCGATTACTTTTTGACCATCATGGCTGATTAGTGACTTGTTTCAAAACCCTGATGGAAGCTTGATGGAAATCTTGACTGTTTAGCCAATTGAATTGTTACCTTGGAGTACTCCTGAGGTAACTGCTGTTTATTCCGGGTCTGTAGGAGTGAGGGAAAAGGCAACATGACATGTGTGCTAAAGGGTGAGTAGTCCTGGAGAACCCATTGTGGTCCTGCTGTCCTCCTGTATCTCTTTTGCCTTGTGACAGCATCACATAAGGGACTATGCAGATGGGATTGTCCAAGTCCTTTCCAGCAGGTCGCTAACATTGCCTGCTAGAAGGGTGGCTAGCATTTGTATGCAGCATGAGTTCAGGCTGTAGTCAAATGATGTGCAAGAGTGTTTAAATATGTAGCACTGGGTCTCAGGAATACTCCTGGGATCAGGGTGCTTACCTATGGTAAGTTGTGAATGTATCATACTAGAAACATGTCACTCAATTTCTTTACTAAAAAAAAAGGTGATACTTTAATTTGACTGAATTGAAATGAAAGCCCTTTTTGGCTCGAGAGGAGGGTTCTGATATGCTCTGTCTGTTTGAAACACAGCTGTATTTGGGTTAATGGATTCTCGTATACTGAAAAGTTTTAAAGGAATGATGATTCTTCCAGGGTAGAAAAATACTGTGTATGTCACTAATATACATCATATTTAATAGTAATAAATGGCATCTGTTCAGTAAGCCACAACCATTTTTCACCTGGGGAACATGGCCTTTCACCAAAGAAAGTGGCCTTTTACTTTTGTTTGGTTTCAGCTATGGCATCTCCAGTTTGCTGAAAGGAAAGAGCAACCTAAAGCTCCTTCTCATGAAACCAAAATCTGAAGAGTAGAAGAAAAATAGCCACAATATAGTGAGATACGTTCAGAAAGGTTGTGCTCACAGTCCTTTTCTCCTGATGATCTTTCACATAATTTTCAGTGTGACCAACCCCTGTTCTCCTCTGCGAATTGCTCTCCCATCTGATGTTTACTCTGCTCCAGGTGAAGAACAGTTGAGCTGTGACAATGGGGCTTGGTGGTATGACATCTCTGGAAGTGAAGTGATAGCTAATTTTGTTGGAGGAAGAAATGAAAGCTCTCTAAAATGGAAAAGGCCTGTTGGATGATTCAGGAAATCTGGGTACGAATGGAATTTTTCAACCTTATCCATGGGCTAAATGTGCTTTACTGAGCAGTTACAAGAGAGCAAAGCTAGGCCAAGTGTATCTTCCATTCCTGTCTGGGGAGGATGAAGCCATTGCCTGGTCTAATAGGGTGTTAAAGTCCAGCCCTACCCAGAGCCTTGTCATAGAATCAGAATAAGGAGGTTTTGTTGTTGCTGGGCATGGTAATTCTTTACAGGTGCCAACTGGAAGGGTTTAAAATGCAAAATGGCATTTCAATGTTTAAGAATAGCAAGTAATTTGATGGCTGTAATAGAAAAGCTTCCAGTCCTTTAGCAATGTGTTCCAGAGCAGCATAACACTGCTGATAAAATTGCCTTTGGATTCCTTGTCTAATATTCCAGCCTTTCTCTCTCTCAGCAAAACACAATAGCACTAAGCCTCCCTGGGAGGGCAGCTAACAGCACATTTACTAGACACTTCAAACATTTGATCATATTTCTCCTGAGTGTATTTAATATCTGTTAATGTCAGCAGCCCCAGCCTGATCGAAATACCTGCATTGCTGGGAAAATGTTTAATATAAAAAATGACACGGGTAAGCAATCACTTACTGATGTCTTTTGGAAATGGATAGGTGACTACCTAACCCCCCTACCTCGCTCCCCTCCCCGCTCTGTTACCACCCTGCTGCTGTTTGCTTCTCTGAATGCATTAGAGTGGCTATTCTGAGTATGCAGGAGATGCCAGGAATAGTTTCATGTTTCCTGCCTCATCAAACCAAATTCAATCTGTAAAAAATTAATACACCCAAAAGGAACAGTTAAAAGCATCTCCAATCAATTAATGTTAAAATGGGAGCTAGGAGGCTGATTTGTTAAAGGAAACCCAATCCAGCTCAGTGCTTGAGAGGCTGCTAGGGCAAGAGTACAGTCAGCGAGTTAAGTCATAATGTTTCCAAGGGGGAAGCAAAAACGGTTTAGGCTAAAGATATCAATGCATCATTCCAACTGTTCACTGCTTCAGGCTTAGGGACCCTAGAAAGATGCACTGTTTTGGGCTGGGCAAGAAGCATCAGCAGAGAGAGTCTTTCCATAAGGGAATGGATGGCACATGCCCAGCTCTCTGCACTGGACATCTGTGTTTTCTCTTTCTTCCCAGAAGGAGCTGCAATGGGAAATGCGAGGATGCAGCCAACATCCTTGAGATCTGAATACTTACAGTAGCTTTGTGTGTCAAGATGAAATTTGGTATGCCATCCCTTTGGCCTGTGGTCTTAAGAACTGGAAGTCAAAAAAGATGAAAGAGGGTTTTGGGGTTTTTTGTTGTTGTTTTCCCTGATTTCTGAGCCTCTCTTACATGGAAGAAAAGACTCATACCATCTCTTGACTGCAGAGCTTGAAGCTTTAAGCTGCAGTTTGAGAGGCACATGGGGAAAGTTGCAAGAGCTGGCAACAAAGGTTCTCATAGTGGAATTAAACAGCAATCCCAGTAATTTTCACAGAGAAGGATTAAATCTGCAACTCTTTGCTGTCTCCTACGTGAAAGGCCAGTCCTCATAAAAGAGATAACTGAATTCTACTTTTTTTTTTTTTTAACCTCAAATGCTGTCAGATTGTTTCCAAAGTGTGGAAAAGTTCCAAATTATGTCTGAATTCAAATTCAAATGAAACATTCAAGCATTTTTCTTGCTATGTGGCCTCTTAGAGGAAAAAAAAGTTAAAAAAAAAAAAAAAAAAAAAAAAAGTTAGGTACACAACCAGCTGAAGCCTATTGTTATTTTGCCTCTGATTAATGTAGGTCACACTTTTCTTCCTTGCAGCTATTAAGTATTTAGGTCCATTTATACTTTAATCCCTTGTCTTTTTCCTGTTTCTTTGTTGCTGTGTTACATCCTCACAGTCAGACAGCATTGAGATAAGTGGTAGAAAAATGGGAAGAGGGAGTTAACGCAGTAATCCAGCTTTGAAATAATAATAAAAAAAATTGGCCTGAGGTAAGTGCTTGAATCCAGAGAGCTTACTGAAGGCAGAAGGAAGAGAGAGGAAAAACAAATGGGGTAGGAGAAACTGAGGCATAAAGAGAGTAGAGATATTGTGCAAAAGGACCTGAGTCAGTATCAGGGTGCTGTACTTGAATGCTGTTCTTGTGAGAAAGATTTAATGGAAATGCATTTCCCTGAGCGTTGACCAGATGAGCCTGGGCTAGGAATAAAGGAGGTCTACTGAAAGCTATGATAGTGTTGCTTGGGTGTAAGTAAGTAGTTTAGCTGGCGCTGGAGTTATGCTGTTCATTGGGCAACTGTGCTCAGGAAGAGCTCCCGCATTCCCCTTTGTCCCTCTGAACAGGAGCCTCGTCCCTGAGAAATGCATCCAATCCATTCACAAATCTTTGCTTCTGAGGTTTAGAGCACGTTGTGGGCTGGATCTTTTCTGAGCACTATGTTCTTTGAAGGAAATGATCTCATCCAAGCTCGCTTTTTCCGCAAAAGTTTTGACACGATGAACTTCTGAGGCCTTTTCTAACCTGGGCTGTTCTGTGATTCTGTGGAAGTTGCAGACACTAGCACCAGCTCTGATTGCAGAGAGGAAGAATCTGTCTCCTAATTGAATTTAAACCATCACCTCTTCTATTTTCTTCTTTATTTTAGGTAGAAGGTAACAGCAACCTCCCTTCCAGTTAAATAAGAGGAAACCATAGCTAAAGAACATGGATAAAAACAATTGAAATATTTTTATGTTCTCTATAAGAAGTTTACAGAGAAATACAATTATTGGTCTCCTCTGTCAATAACTGGGCATGTGGCTCCACAGTGCCCTAGGTTACACTTCTGGTTCTTTGCTGTTTGAAAGCCAAAATCAATTTCCCCATGAGATTTTGAAAACAAAAATACAAATTTAAGGAGACTTCTTGGACCTCGTGTTTTCTTTGCCACAACAGATATAAACTGGATTTTGCTGAACAGAAAGCATTTTTATTTCCTTTATCTGGGTCTGGGCAAGAGGAATGATGTTGCTGCAGCCAGGGTATAGGAGACTGCATGACTCAGCTGTGTCCTACACTGGCATACAATAAAACACAGCATGGTGCAGCTTTAATTTTAATTCAAAATAAATATTTCCGTAGCCTACAGAATTCCTTTAATACACTTATCTGGGAGAACACAAAGATTAAAGAAATCCCGCTAATTCCTTTATCTTTCAGATACAGGGCTGAAAACAAAGACGTTCAAACCTTGAGCTAAATAGAAGAGGAAGAAGCCAAAATCTGTGCCAGAGGTTTGACTGCTGGGTTTACTCATAGCTTCAGGTAAGCTTCTTTCCCCGGATTGTTTAGCATTTCAGAGGCCCTCTGTGCTCCTCAAGGAGAGCTGTGGATTACAGGCATAAAACCTTTGCATAGCTCACAGCCCAGGCAGAGGGAGAACAAACAAGCTAATCCAGGGTGCCTTCCAGTCCCGCATCCTGCCTCTGACCCTGGACGGCACCACCTGCTTCAGAGGAAGATGTAAGAACCTCACAGCAGGCAGATGCAGGGTAATCAATCCTTTCAGCCTTGTTCTCAAGCCCCATTAGATCTCATCCTGATCCCTAAATAGTTCGAGCTTGGATTAAACCTTGCAGTACAGTATTTAATACACTCTGAAAATTGGTGTTATCATTAACTCCCATGACTCTGGAAACTAATGTTATTCCCACACAAATACATTTTCATTTTGAATCTTTCTATGTCCTTGGTCTGCTACAGCAATGCATACATAGGTTTAAATGCCTCTTTGCAGGAAGTATTTAATGTTCCTTTGTATCTGTGGTTATTTCCCTGTGATTATTCTTCTCTGTGTGTCCCTGTTACAAACCTTTTGAAGAAAGGAATGGGAATAAACAGTATACTCTAAAGATGACACATTTCTTCCATCACAGTGTGGAAAAAAAGTCTCAGGGATATGTTCTTTCTGCAGCCTTAGCATCACTTTGTTATCTTGGAAACAGAGAGAGGCTTTGCACCACTCCTAACCCTACCCCAGACCTTAATCCAGGCTGCAGACCTCAGCTGCTTTTGTTTCAGCTTTTCTAGTCGTAGTTAGGATGAGCAAGTTCTCACAGCAGAACTATTTTTGCAGTCTGTTCCTTGCCAGCCTCTTTCCAGCACCCATCCAACTAGATGCAGCAGCTCTTGCCTCTCTCCCAACACCTAACCCTTCCCCTTGCCCTGTTTGTTAGCACAGCCTCCCCAAAGACATTTTGTACATGTAAAGATTATCAGTGGAAAATGCATTTGCAGTCTCCCTCTTTGTTTGGCATCTCCTTTGGCTCCCCTTTATCTACAAATCTTCTATTGTTAGCTGAAACCCTGGCTGTTTTTCTCATCTCCTGCTCTTTTCCTAGAATGCCTTCTTAGTATCTTCCTTGAATATGATTTTTTTTTTTTTGCTAGTCATAACCGTATTTATCTCATGCAGTAACTCTAAGGAACATCTTAGGAACACTTTAGAGCCTATGAAGAGATGTTATGTGTGTCAGTTCAGCTTGGTCTACGGTGCTTACATAGAATAGCTCAAACACTTCTTTTTTTTTTTTATTTATTTCTAACTCAGTTTGGCTCTCCACTATCATTTGTGCACATAGTGTATATGAATATATCTATGATGATGTCCTGAATTATGTCGTAGTGTTACCTACATTATATCTCCATACCACCTGTTGTACAGCATCCTCTCCCTAGTCCCATCTGTTTACCACTCCTCCGCCTTGCTCTATGTCCTTTCTTCTTCTCCTTCTTATAAAATTGCAATCTTTCTCTTTCCTCCTATTCCCTCTTTTCTTCTCCTCTCTCCTTCTTGGTGCTCTGGGCTGGGACAGGGGCTAAGGAGCACCCAAGAGACCTGTGTGTATATGCGTGAAATGCGGAGGAGGACCTTCCAGCATGAACCCGCACTGTGAGCCATGGGGAAGAGGGAGGTGGGCAGGGGAGGTGTTGCCCTGCTGTAGGGGCACTATGGTGGCATTCTGCACCAGAAACACTGGGCACGTCCTGCCATGGAGATGAGCTGTACAACAATTTAGGAGCACTGATTGTGAGATGCTTTTCACAGGTATAGGAGGAGCATGCTGCAGGGCTGAGGCCAAGGCAGATACACCATAATGCACAGCCCTTTGATGGCATCTGAAATTCCCATCTCTCACCCAGTGTTTCAGCGTTGCTGTTTTGCATTGACCAGTCATCTCTTTGTCCAAGATCTTCCTGATCTCACCCATCTACAAAATTGGTCTGGTGCTGTTTTTGTTACTTCAGCTGAATCCCTTTTGAGACCATTCACAAACATGAGTAAATTAAACAGTGTGGGATCCTGGATGAAGCCTTGAGGCTTATGATGTTTGCTAAGGTGAAAATTAGGCTGTTTAATAATGCATTTCTTTGGACTTTCCTCTTCTGTAATGTCTCATCCAAAATATATTTTACCCCTTCCCTAGTGATGTCTTAATTTCTGTATTTTCTCTGTGCCATGTTTGGTCAAAAGCATTTTATCAGTCTGAACAAGTCATGACTTTCCTCTTAACACAGCAAATTCTGAGAGATCAGTGAAACAATTTTGTTTTCTGTGGGCATCATGCTAAACTCTATTTTCTTCCCGTTCTTAATGTTATTTTCAGGGAAGAACGGGTAATATATTCTGACCAGAGGTAGCTCTGCAGACTCCAAAAACCTATTCCTATTACAGTGCTGATCACGCCATCCCTTAGCACTACCAGGCTTTTAAATGAGATCGGTAGTAATTGAAAGAACATGAGAAAGGGCAGATTTCAAGAGCTTAGGGGCTGATTTGCCAAACAGATCAGTACTCGTACCTGGGAGTAGAGGCTCACAAACCTGTTTGGAAATCTGACCCAGGTCTGTGCAGTGACACCTCTTAACAAGCTGGTGAGTCTTCATGGCACAGTGTGGCCCTATGCAGATAACACTCAGCTCCCAGAGATCCAATAGATCTTTCTGGACCCAGCAAATTAGCCCTGCTGCAGAGTAAGGCAGCTTCACTGCTATTTTCCTTGCAGTCTGGGGGATAGCTGGAACAGAATTAACTGCATGATCTTTGCCCTGTTCATGGTTTCATGAAGCAGGTAACTTTATGCTTTATGCCTATTTTTGCCATCTGGAAGCTCAGAGAAAGTGCTTTTGGGGGTGTACAAGCTCACCCCCAATATCAGACAATGAGAAGCCTTCTTTCTGCAACCTCTTCTGCATGGATTAAACCCCCGCATGGATAGCTTCCCTTGTCAGCCAGCGGAGGTGCTGAGTGCCCCAGGCACTCATCAAAATTCCTCCTGCCTCTCACAGCTTCTGTCACCTTCAGGAATGTGAGACCTCTCAGATCAGGCCATTAATCCTGCTTCTCCCAGTGGAGTATGGCTTGTCTGGTGGAATGTGTTTCATTGCAACTGGTTCTTCAGGATGTTGTGACTGACAAAGCAGACTTTGGCTACACATGTGGATAGCTGGGATCCTGCTACTACCTAACTCTATTGATCTGTTATTGAGTTCAGCACTAACTGCTGGTGTAGCTCTGAAGAAGCTCAGCCTCTGCGGGCAGCTGGGAAGAAAGGCAAACTCAGAAGGGAAATAGGTGCTCCACCTCATCATAGCATAACAGAACGTTCCAAGTTGGAATGGTCCCATAAGTATCATTGAGTTCAACTTTGGGCTCCACAGAGCACCACCCAAAAGTGATGGCCTGGCTTATTCAATGGGAAGAATTCCAGCAGGACAAAAAAAACCCAAACAAACCAAAACAAACAATCCCAACAAACCTGCACTTGGAAAAGTGCTGCTCCGTATAGCCCTGCTTCTCAGAGGAGTCGTGTAGCTGTTTCAGAGACGTGCCCGAAAACAGTGTTATTAGGAGGGCCAGGGTTTGTTCAGGAGGCTGTGGGATGCAGCCATTCCTTGGGCACTGCAGATATATTTACAGTATTAAAAGGTCAAACAATCCCTTCATTCCCTGTTTGCTTCAGAGAGTTTTGTTGAACATTCTCATTATTCGTTGTGGTATTTCTTTGGTTTAAGAGGATTTCTCTGCACAACCATAGTTATTAGAATGTGGTGTGTGTGCAGTGAATGTGTTATTACTATAACAAGCTTCTCCTCATAGTAGGTATTTTTTCTGAGTGTGAGGCTTTTACTTCAGTTGTGTGTGTGGCAACGCAGACAACATGGGGCAGGTAATGTGGAAAAAAAGATGGAGTAAAATGGGGAAAATACACAAAATTAGTAGTTTAGAGACATGACTTCTGCCCCTACCTTTGTTATAGGCTCTGTGCCAACTCTTGCCTTCCCTTTCACAAAAAGGTCAGGAAAATGAGTACTGTACAGCAGGCTGGGGACTTTTAGGAGGGGAACAAATTTTATTCTTCATGCAGTTTTCCCCTAATAGCAGGCAGTGCTTTTGGCCCTGTTAACCTTTAGGTGAATTATGTGAAAGCCTCCAAATCACTAGGTAGTTATTAGGAGACCTGGATCCTCCTATGGGACCCGAGGAAATGGCCACAAGTTGTACCAGAGGAGGTTTAGGTTAGACATAAGGAAGAACTTTTTCTCTCAGAGGGTGGTCAGGCACTGGAATGGCTGCCCAGGGAGGTGGTGGAGTCGCCATCCCTGGCAGTGTTCAAGAGGTGTCTGGATGAGGCGCTACAAGATCTGGTTTAGTGCTTGTGGTAGCAAGGGTAATGGCAGGATGACTGGACTAGATGATCTTGCAGGTCCTTTCCAACCTTATGATTCTATGATGTTCTTTGTGCTCCTTCTCCACTACGCGCATGAAAAGGGATTGCTGGAGAGGGTGACAGCAAAACACAGTGCAGAAATGCAAGATAAGTAAAGGCAATGAGGGCTTTCATAGGCTTGGGAACAGTAGGAACTCTGGCTTTATCAGGTAGCAATAATTAAAGATATTATAATGAAGCCAGGGAATCAAGAGCATTATGTCATGATTTCTACTCTGTATTTTAAAAGCTACAGCATATGGACCTGGATAAGGGTCATTACTTCCATGAAGAGTTAACTAAAGAGTCTGTTAAACATCATCTATTAGGATAACATAAACCTAAGAGTCTTAAGAGAGTTGGCTCAGGAAACGTCTGGCTTTAATGAACCTGGAATTGCTGGTGTTACTACAGAGGACCACAAAGGTCTTAGGTTTTGCCAGTATTACAGAAGAGTGTGACGGTTTTTAGGATAATTATATGCTGAGCAACTTGATGTCAGTGCCTATCAAAATAATGCACAGGAGAGTATGAGACTTGGCTGCTAGCTAGAAA